TTTGCCTTTACTTCTTATACTTCGTTTTTATACTTTGCTGCTGGGTGGTTAAGACCAAGGTAAAGCAGGACCTATGCAACAAGAGTTGTAGCTTTTGGGTAATGTGATGATTTTTAACTTCTGGGAAGATACCTAGAAGGAGACTAGCTTGGTCAAATGGAATTCATATTTTAGTTTTTTGGGAGTCTCCACCCTGGTTTACATAGTGGTTTTACTAGTTCATATTTCCATCAACTGTATATAAAGATTCTTTTTTCCCTGCAGCCTCAGCCTCACCAGCATTTGTCATTGTTAGATTTCTTGAGGATAGTTGTTCTCTCTGACTGAGATGGAATCTCAGTGTTTTGATTTTCATTTCTCTGGTTTTTATTTTGGGGGGGCCGGATATTGAACGCAGGCCCTTGCGCTTACCAGGTAAGTGCTTATTATGCTTATTAACTGAGCCATTTCCCCAGCTGCCTTCATTTCTCTACTGGCAAGTGGTTGTGCACATTTCTTCATGTATTTATGGTCATTTGTACTTTGGAGAAATGTCTGTTCATTTTGGTTACCCATTTTTTTTGAGCAACCTTTCTCAAATTGGTAGAAGGTCTTAATTTTTGGTCTTTTATTTTGGTAGCAGTTTTAATTTTGGGGGGTCCTTTGTATCTTCTAGATTTTAGTCCTCTGTCCAAGGAATAGCTGGCAGATATTTTTTCTCATTTTGTAGGCTGTCTCTTCACTGTTAGTTTTTTTTTTTTTTTTAATAGTTTTGGGAGTTGTTTGTTTTGCTATGCAGAAGCTTTTTAATTTGATTGGATCCCATTTGTTTATTCTCAATATTATTTCTTGTACCATTAGGATTCTGTTCAGAAAGTCCTCTACACTTATATTGTAAGGTTCTTACCTGTTCTATCTTTTAGCAGATTGTTTCTGTTTAAACATTTAGATCTTTGATGCATTGTAATTATAATTAGTACATAGTTGAAACATGGATCTAGACTCAGTCGTCTGCATATGGACAATTCAGTTTTCACAGTTTATTAAAGAGGTGTTGTGTTTTGTTTTGTTTTGTTTTGTTTTGTTGCCTCCTTTGTCAAAGATCAAATGGCTGAACATAACTGGGTCATTTTTGCTTCCTTTATTCTGTTCCATTGATCCACATGTCTTGTTTTTCTGTTTTGTTTTTTGAGACAGGGTCTCGCTGTGTAATTCAAGCTGGTCTTTTATCTCAGTGTAGCTCAAGGTAGTCTCAAACTCACAGGGATCTCCTGCCTCAGCCTCCCAAGTGCTGGGATTATAGACATGTGCTGCCATGCCTGGCCACATGTCTTGGTTTTCTGCCAGTACTGTGCTTTGTAATAGAACTTCGAATCTGGAATTGTCATGCCTCCTGCTTTTGTTTTTTATCTTCTGGTACCATGAATTGAACTCAGGACTTTGCGCTTGCCAGGCAGGTGCTGTGCCACTGAGCTATATCCCCAGCCCCTGCTTTGTTTTTGTTACCCAGATTACTTTTGCTATGCTGGGTCTCTCCTGGTTTCATATGAGTTTAGGATTGTTTTCTCTACATCTGTGATGAATGCTGTTGGTACTTTTGATTGGAATTGTAAAATATCTGTTATCCCCTTGTTTTACAGATAGAGAAACTGAGGGCCAGTGATGTAAAGCTTAATCCACTTTGAGAACTATAAATAGTTTTTCCTCTAGACTGTCTGGCTTGTTATTGTCTTTGGGGTCTTTGTTCTTGTTTTTATTTTTGAGTTTATGAGACTGCCTCTCACTTTATATTGCAGGCTGGCCTTGAAGTTACTGTGTAACCTAGGCTGGCCTTGAACTCACAGAAATCTTCCTGCCTCAGCCTTTCAAGTGCTGGGACTGTGGGCATGCATCTCTATGTCTTACTGGTTTTATCTTCTCTGTTATTTACAAGTCCCATGTCTTGGTGGCCCACATTGCTAAGTGCCCACAGAGCCTCTGTGCCCACCTCCAGCAGCCTCTGCCTCCGCCCCACACTGACAGTCCCTTTCTGTATTGGGGCAGGTGGGTAGCAATGCTGGTATCGTGGGGATGACCAAGGAGCACCTGGGCTTGGCATTGGCGCTCAATGTACCAGTCTTTGTGGTGGTCACCAAGATTGACATGTGTCCTGCCAACATCCTGCAAGGTAAGGCCGCCTCCAGTGGGCAGCAGCCTCCCTGGTCTCCTGGGGCAATCTGCTGCCATGGCTGCAGCCCAGGATCGTCTGTTTCCATGTCTTGTGCTCAACCTTGGCCTGAATTTCTCTCAACCCAGAATCTTCTGCCTCTTCCTCCCCTGTTTAGCTCTTGATGTAAGCATAAGCATGGTGTAGAGCTTTCCTCTTTTCTTTGTTCCTTTGAATCCCATGCGTAGTATGTTAAGATTCCCTGGTCTGGTAACTTCACATGACCCTGGCGGCAGGATTGGGTAGTGCCATCCAAGCTGGATATACACACAGGCCTTTGGGCAAATAGCTAATGACCTTTTAGCACCCGAGTGTCCACCCAGGGTCACAGCAGTAGGCCTTCATGGCTGTCTTCCTCACTGTTGTAGATTGTTCTGCTACGAGGTGTCATACACGGGCCTCTGCAGACTTCTCAGCATTCAAGAGTTCTTCTCAGAGAAGATACTCCCTTTAGAAGCAGAGCACTTTGGGAGGAGCATTGGCTCCTCTCAGGGATCTCCGAATTGCTTGTCTGCAGGATTTGGGTCTCCTGGAGGCTCTGGAGCAATCTGGCACGTTCAGATGCACAGCCTTAGAAAGGAGGCCTCATCTGTGCCCTTTCTGCTCCAGCAGCACGTACCCACCCACAGTATTACTACTCTTGTTTGTTTTTCTGGGCATTGTGGCATTTAACACTGGTTCATCTGTCTGTCCCCTGCTTGCGCTATTAACGAGTGGGTCTTTTCTGTCCGGGAAGTCTGACCAAAGAGAAGGCTGTGTCCCCTAATTCTGTTCCATTTTGCCTTTTAAGAAACACTGAAGCTGTTACAGCGCCTGCTGAAGTCTCCAGGCTGCCGAAAAATCCCCGTGCTGGTGCAGAACAAAGACGATGTGATTGTTACAGCCTCCAACTTCAGTTCTGAGAGGTAATGGGTGGACAGCGTGTGCTTTCAGGCAGGTGCTCGTGTCTTCAGGGCTGTGGCCAGCAGTAGGCCTAGAAGGCGTAGGTCTCAAGGGTTCTTATTTGTCAGGGATTGGAGGACATAGAAGGTTTCTGCCTTAGCACAAGCTCCCCCAGGCCAGCAGTCTTGCTAGAGGCCATATGGAGTCACCCATAATCCATCTGAGATGCAGCCTCTGAGGTTGAGATCCCAGCTGAGACTTCACTGTCCCTGTCAGTGAAATGGGAATAATACTGACTTAAGAGTATTTGGATGGTATATATAAGGTGCCTAATTAGCACTGTGCCTGGCTGGTAGATACACAGCCATTTTCATGCTGATTAATATTTTTACTGTTTCTCTAAAGCTTCCTAATCACAGGTCAGTTTTGGCACTTACCCAGGCATGTGTGTTTTCATTTCCATAAGTATTTACTAGATGGAGTTCTTCATCTAGAGGTGAATTGAGCACAGTCCTTGAGGGATTCACCTTGGGTGGAAATACTCCTTTTTTTTTTTTTTTTATATTTATTTATTTAGTGTCTGTATGTGGCCAGCTCAGCCCACCAGGGGGCAGGGCTGGCTGGCATGTGGTGCTGGGGGATTGAACCGCGGTCCCTGTGCTTTGCTTAGCTTGTTCTAAGTAGGTGCTTTAGACCACTGAGCCATCTCACCAGCCCCGGAAATACTCCTATTAATACTCTGTCGAAACTTTTGCCCAGAGCCAGGACCTCCTTGTCAGCCACCTGCCTGCTGCCTTGGTCTGCTGCCCAGAAAGACCCAGAGCAGCGTGGGCAGTCTTCAGTGCCCCCAGTTGGCCAGCAGAGGGGGCACGTGTCAGACAGCCTGGTGGCCAGCTCAGCCATTGTGTTGTAGTAGGTTCTATAATTCCTGACCTCAGGGGGTTTACTTCACCCTGATGAGAGATTGAGGCCACTTCAATAACTGATAGAAAATCAGATGTAGCAAGATACCAAGCAGAAGCTCTCCCTGGCCCTCCCAGAGGTTGAAAGGACTCAGCCAGAAAGGCTTTCATAGAGGAGGTGGTGGTTGAGATGAACTGTAGAAGACGGGAAGGAAGGGTTGGTGTTGGATAAGAGGAAAGGAATTCAGGAAGGAGGATCAGAGTGAGCATATATTTGCGTGTGGTAGGACAGCACATAGGAGAAACAGTGTGGGAGGCTGGGATGTAGGACTAAGGAACAGGCCACAGGCCTGGGTTCAAAAGGCCATGAGTGTGGGAGGAGGGACTGGATTGTCTCTTGGTGATGGAAAACCAGTTGGGGATTTAAAGCATTGTGTGCACTCGCCAGGAAAAAGTAGGCCTGAGGGCAGTGGCAGGGAAGAGGCTGGAGGAGACAGGTTTCTGGGAGGAAACTAAGTCAGAGGAGGTCACGGCAGGACCAGAGTGTCAGCAGTGGGGCTGCTGACAGGTTAGGGCAGGAACTGGCCACCTGAGCTCCCCTCTCCTTTCTTCCTTCTGTTCCCTTCTGCTTAGGATGTGCCCCATATTCCAGATCTCTAACGTTACAGGCGAGAACCTAGATCTGCTGAAGATGTTCCTCAATCTCCTGTCCCCCCGCACCAGCTACAGGGAGGAAGAGCCTGCCGAGTTCCAGATTGATGATACCTACTCTGTCCCTGTGAGCAGTTTTGGATGGGACTGAGCTGGGTGGGCATGTGATGGGCATCAGAGGTCCCGTCTGTGGTAGAGTTGGGCTTACTAGGGTGGTATCTCTTCCTTGGCAGGGTGTGGGGACAGTGGTGTCAGGAACAACACTGCGGGGCTTGATCAAGCTGAATGACACACTGCTCCTGGGCCCGGATCCCTTAGGGAACTTCCTATCTATTGCTGTCAAGTCCATTCATCGCAAGCGCATGCCTGTCAAGGAGGTGCGTGGGGGCCAGACGGCCTCCTTTGCACTGAAGAAGGTGAGTGTGGCT